TTTTTTGAGACAGAGTCTTGCTCTGTTGCCAGGCTGGAGTGCAGTGGCAAATCTCAGCTCACTGAAACCTCCGCCTCCTGGATTCAAGCTATTCTTCCACCTTGGCCTCTGGAGTAGCTGAGACCACAGGCACATGCCACCACATTCGGCTAATTTTTGTATTTTTAGTAGAGACAGTGTTTCACCATGTTGGCCAGGATGGTCTCGATCTCCTGACCTTGTGATCCCCCCCACTTCAGCCTCCCAAAGTTCTGGGATTACAAGTGTAATCCACCGTACACGGCCAATTTATCCTTTTCTTAAAGGTAAATTTCTAGAGGTAGAATCGCTAGATCAAAGAAGATACAGATTTTTTTAATAGAGAGCTTTTAAAATAGTCAAGTTAGCCAAGGTTCTATCAATTTTACATTTGTGTATTAAAATGCACAAAGCATCTGGCATAGGAGATACCACAATCATGAAGGTGGTTTTCCCTGGTGAGGCTTATCCATTGCACTCTGGATGTGCTGACTCCTGCGATTATCCCAAATGTGGGAAACTCAACTGTATAATTTATGGTAGTGGGGGACTGTGTGTTTGCTCTCCCCTGATGTTTATTAAAAAGAAAAAAATTTTGATTAAAAGTAAATGAAATAAAATGCACAAAGGAACAGCCCGTACCTCACCCATACAAGGACAAAATAAAAGGCAGAAAGGGACAACCTCGTTGTCTGGATTTCTAGTTCTTTGCTGCTGAGAACACATATTTCAGAAAATAGTTATGGGTTACTTTTATCTTTTTTTTAAATAGTGAGTTCTTGACCTTTGTCCCTGGACTCCTTGAAGACCCACCATGTGTTACACCTTAGGATAATACAAAGAATACTGATTTTCTCTACTATGGAGGATTTGCAAGGGCAAGGAGCAAAGTTGCCCAGTTCCCATGGGACCTACCCCCACTCCAGCTCATACCCCTTGCCTGCTAACCAAATTTGACTGCAGAGGCACGGAAGCATGGGTGTGATGGAAAAAAACCCAGATGTTTTTTTTATATCTGGCTCTAGAACTTTGAAGCTACTCAACCTAAAGACAAGTCTACTCAAATGGCAAACCCTACCGACCATCTCTTGGCTCCCTCCCCTCTCCTCCTCTCTCTCCAGAGCTCAGCCTCAGCTCCTGCCAGATCACGGCATCATTACTTCTCCTGACCTAACATTCCCAGACAGTAGAAGACTCAGTCTGAAAATATATATGTTCCCCATGTGTGTCTGCATCTGTGAGAGACAGTCCAGCAGACCCTCACTGAGTGTTTGAGCATGCAGGGCCTTGAACCCAGTGCTATTAGAGACATGGAGAATTTAAAAGAAAGACATGGCAAGGTGCAGTGGCTCACAACTGTAATCCCAACACTTTGGGAGGCTGAGGCAGGTGGATTGCTCGAAGTCAGGAGTTCAAGACCAGCCTGACCAACATGGTAAAATGCTGTCTCCACTAAAAATTCAAAAAATTAGCCAGGCGTGGTGGTAGGCGCCTGTAATCCCAGCTACTCGGGAGGCTGAGGCATGAGAATGGCTTGAACTCAGGAGGTGGAGGTTGCAGTGAGCCAACATCATGCCACTGCACTCCAGTCTGGGAGACAAAGCGAGACTCCATCTCAAAAAAAAAAAAAAAGAAAGAAAGAAAGGCATGGTCTTTACCTTCCAGAAATTAACAATCAGGTATGTGACTTATACTCAGATAATAGATAATAATGACAAATGGATACATTTTGAAAATCCTATAACAGAAGTAAAGACACTGTGCTGTGGGAGGCTAGCTTCCAGTCTGCAAAGCTGGAGACTTCATGGAGGAAGTGGAATTTAAGCCTGAAAGAAATGGAGGAAAGACAGTCCAGGAAGAAGAAACAGTCTAAGTAAAGGCAAAAAGATGGGGTCATTCATTCAAGAACCGCTGAGTTCCATTTAGCTGAGTGTAGTCTATCTGCACTGGACTGAAGTTTGTGTCCCCCTAAAATTTCTATGTTGAAACACTAACCCCAAAGCATTGAAGATGGAGCCTTTGGGAGATGATTAGGTCATGGAGGTGGAGCCCTTATGAATGAGATTAGTGTTCCTAGAAGTGTAAACCAAAAATAAAATTCTAAGCCCCCCAATTGACTGATGAAGCCCCCTCTCAGCCAAGGGCATTCCAAAGTAAACCTGAAAAACTAGTTGAGGGCATGATGGGAAGGGGAGGTCAGATGCGCTTCATTAGACCCTCCTCTTTTTGGAATTCAGACACAAATGGTCAGCACTAACATTAAAACAGAGATCTTAAGACTGACAAAATAGACTCTTTGCAGCAATAAGATACCAAATTCCAACCTGATTCTAGTATAGCATCATGTGATAGAGAGCAGGCCCTGAAAGAAATCAAAGTATTTTACCCTAAAAATCTATTTTTTGAAATATTTTGAAACGGCCATGCAAAGCTGGCCATTTGTTGTGATAGCAAGCCTCTTATGGGAAAAATTACACTCTGAAGAATCCCCTTCCCTTTCCAGGTCTTTTCCCTAACCTAGAAAAGAATCAATTCTCTCAACCAGTTGCCAATCAGAAAATCTTTGAAACCACCTATGACCTGGAAGAACCCCCCGACCCCACTTGGAGTTGTCCTGCCTTTCCAAACTGAATCAGGGTGCACCTTACATGCATTGATTGATGTCTGCCTGTAACTTCTGTCCCCCTAAAATCTATAAAATTAAGCTGTGACCCAACTACCTTGGGCTCATGTTCTCAGGACTTCATCAGGCTGTGTCACGAGTCATGTCCTCACATTTGGCTCAAAGTAAATCTCTTCAAATATTTTATGCAGTTTGACTCTTTTCGTTGACATAAGAAGAGGCCAGAAGCCAGGTATGGTGTCACACACCTGCAGTCCCAGCTACTCGGGAGGCTAAGACAAGGGGATTGCTTGAGTCCAGGAGTTTGAGTTCAGCCTGGGCAATAAAGAAAGACCCTGTCTCTAAAAAAGAAAAAAAAGAAGAAGAAGGCAGAGAGCTAGTCAGCTCTCCTTTTGCCATGTGAAGACAGAGCAAGAAGATGGCTCTCTGTAAACCAGGAAGCCTTCACCAAGAACCCAATCCTGCTGAAATCCCGGTCTCAGACTTCCAGCCCCCAAAACTGTGAGAAATAAATATTTGTTGTTTAAGCCACTCAGTTTATAGTATGTTGTGATAGCAAGCACTGCCTAAGGTGGAGGAATAGAAGATGAAGTCAGGCAGGGAGGCAGAGGCCAAACTTTGGAGGCCTGAATGCTGGGCCAAGAAACAGGGAGTTTTATTGACAGCATTTGAGCAAGGAAGACATAGTCATAAGTGATCAGATATAATTGTCAACAACTATTTTCATTTGGAGGTTAGACATCTAACCAAGAAAGACCAGAAAAGATGTAAATTGCCTATTGTGCCTTAACAAAATAACATAACCGTTGCCATTGATGCGGACAAATTCCTGTTCATCTATGGATCATGCAACATAGCAATGGATATGCACATTGTCCCACACATGGCATTTTGATGTGGGGATGTTGTTTGCTTACAACTCAGAAAACTTTATGTGTGCTCAATCTTCATAGTCTGTTTGTGTGGGTCTTTCTCTCTGACCTGGTGTTCAGGATTTCCAGACAGAAGGAAGAGCAAGTGTACCTTCTATGTCCAGGTCCTTAAATGCATCTGAGCAGCCTTTGACCCCACCTGTCCCCATGCCTTTATTTCAACCCCACAAGTGGGTCAAATGAGAACCCCTCTCTTGTCTCGTCTCTCTCTCTCCCCCAGTCTCCTCCTTCCAGCCTAGAAATGGTCTTTATTGCCTTCTTGTGTGGTGAGAAATTGCCCTATATGATATCCTACCTAATTTCCTCTCTTGTTGTTAACATGAATAAACTCAAAACTCTAATCCTCCAGCTTTGATTTATACAGAACCCACAAACCTTACTTCTCCCAAAGAAGCTAGCTCTGCACATAAAAATCTTGCAAATGAAAATCCTGACTATTATCACTGAAATGCACCTGAGACCCTATCTGGGAAATCAGGAAATGAAGTTGCTCTCTAGTCTTCAGCTAGATTTTGCAAGCTCACTGTGTAGTAAATAATTTTATTTTGCCCAAAAAGAGGCCTGGCCTTTGCTGTTTGCCCCTGGGAGGTCACCTCTAAGCCCTTGGAATGTCCTGCCTGATAACTGTTTTTGTTTACTAAGGGACTTTGGACTACACCGGGAAGTCCAACAGTGTGATTTATAGTGAAAATTTGAGTCATATGATATCAGTTCAACCTCTAGAAGAGCTGAAACCTAAGGTCAGCCATGTGGAAAGTCAACCATGAAACCTCAATACAAACTCTTAGCCTGCCACAGTGGTTCATGCTTGTAATCCTAATACCTGGAGAGGCTAAGGTGGAAGTGTCACTTGAGGCCAAGAGTTCAAGACCAGCCTGTGCCACATAGCAAGACCCTGTCTTTCAAAATAAATTTTAAAACTAGCCAAGCATGGTGACACATACCTGTATTCCCAGCTACTTGGAAGGCTGAGGCTGGAGGATTGCTTGAGCCCAGGAGTTTGAGGTTACAGTGAGCTCTGATTGTGCCACTGCACCCCAGCTTGGGTGACAGTGCAAGACTCTATTTCTAAAATAAATTAAAATAACCCTGTACACCCAGGCTTAGGTGAGCTTCTTGGTTGGCAGTACTCCGTATGTATTATCAAACATCTTTGCTAGAAGAGTAACACTGTCCACCACACAGGGAAAAGATGGATAAAAGCTCCACACTTGGAATTTTCTGGACCCTGCCCCACCTGTCTCTTCCCTTGGCTGATTTTCATCTGTATCCTTTCCCTGTACTAAACTGTAACCATGAGTATAAATGTTTTCAGTGAGCTTTGTGAATCCTTCTAGAAAATTCTAGCAAACGACCAAACCTGGGGATGGTCTTGGGAACCCCCTGAGCCTACATTTGGTATCAGAAGTGAGGGTGGTGTTCAGGGCTATTTGTGTAACTCTTCCTCCCCTGATAGTAGCTGCCACAGCCTCAGTGGGAAAAGAGGACCACAGAGCAAAAAAAAATTACCTGCAGTGAGAATTATACCTGATAATAGTTCCTAATACACACATATAAAAAGAAAACTAACAGTGCAAACTAGGTGAATGCTACTAGTGAGATGCAGGCTCTGAGTAGTACTAAATTCAGGAGACAGAACAGTGACTGTGGGTGGACATGGTCAGGGAAGGCTTCCTGGAGGTGGTGGGACTTGAGCTAGGATTTTGGGGATGTAGAGAAATTAAACAGGCATAGTGAAGAAGAGCATTCCAAGTAGAAAGGAATATTTATATCAGCTTGCTAAACTGGCATATTTAGAAGACTAGAGAGGAAAGGCTGCAGCAGAAAATTAAGATGTTATTGGCCTCGAAAGCTTCCTGATGTTATTTATCTCCGTGGGCTTCTTCATTAGCCAATCACTGTAAAAATCTTTTCAAAATACCAAGAATCCCCTTGCTAATCTGGAACACAGAGGCAAGGATTCTATTCCTGATTGTTTGATCTTTTCCACAGCTCATGCTAAACATAATGCTCTGA